TAATTAATAGTAATGTATTCAAAATTGGAAATTAGAACCAAATTTAGACTTTCCCTTTGAATAAAACAGTTATTTATAAGGATTTGACCGATATTCTTTCACCTGTTATTTATTTATTTAATTATTTATTATTTTTATTTGACAGCATTTATTCAATTTGGTTTTCATTTTCAAATCAGTTCAAGAACAGTACATTAAATTAAATGAAATTAAAAACGTTATAATAATAATAAAAAAAAATTAAATCATATAATTGACAAACATATTTTAAATGTTTTCATAATTTAAAGAAAAAAGAAAAAGAAAATTACTAATCACGCCAAAAATCTTTATTTATTTATTTATTTTTGACCGACCCAAAATATAATCAATATATACATATATAAATATATTTTTTTAATTTGTAAAATATTTACAATTTAGACTTAATTAATATGTAAAATTTGACTATTATAAGGAAAAAACAAAACGAATTAAAATTTTTATTCAGTAAAATATTTTTTAAACATTAGGTGTGGGTCTTCGTTAAATTATGTGTTTTTTGTGTCCTTATTTGCAATTAATTAATTTGTTTGTTTTTATGGTCAACTTTTTTCTATAGTCAATGAAAATAGTCAAAATCTCAACTTGTGAGGCCAGAAAAATCATGGCTACGTTTTTTCTCGGAAACTTCCAAGAAAATATGTTTTAATTTTATAAATAAAAAAAAATAGGTTTTAATTATTTTATAAATATAGTCATTTTCATGATATTTCAACTTATATATTTCCAAGCTAAAATTAATATTGAAAATAACCTAGATTTTTGCGTTTGGAAATTCTATAAAAGGACAAAAATAACCCTTTATAAAAGTTAAAACCACTCCTCTTAGTAGACACGTTTTAACCCATAAAGTTCTAAGGAAAAGTTCAAAGAGATAATATTTGCTAGTGGTGTACTTGAGCTATTACAAATGATTTAGAGCTGGACACCGAGCGGGAGAAACCCTTTAAGAAAAACACCGAGCAGAGGGCAACCCATTAAGACAAATACTCAGACAGACTAATAAACGATTTGTTTTACCAAATAATTTAGACCGTTAAATTCTCCCCTAATTACTTTTTACCCTTACAAACCATTTCCAACCGAGCTCTTAGTTTAGAGCAGTGGAATTATGTTTATGTTGACAATGATAGATAGAATATCTTATAAACGATTTGAACAAAATAGATCGACTAATAAGCTCTAATATCGTTTATTTGTCACGTCTAATCATGTAATATCTTATACTAACGTTTTTTATGTTAATTTTAATTTTAATTTATTTATTTAGAAGCATGGGGTGATGAAATGGAGAGTGGAGAGGAACGTGGGGAAGGCGAAAGTTGCGGATTCAAAAACTGAAGCAAAGGGGAATGGGTTTGAGATTGATTATGTTTGGTTGCCTAAGCAAAGCCTAAGTGGGAATCACAAGGACCACAACCTTTGCTTTCTCATTAACTCCCAATAATACATATGGACCACCTCCCAATAGTTTAATGCCCTATCGTCTCGATCATTCGTGTCTCTATTATTCGTCTACGAACCCATCACACCCTAAAAGAAGGGAGAAAAAATCCATTGCATATAGCTCAATTGATTGACATATCGGTAATGTCCTCCCTGTTCAGTCTTATTTTCTATGCTGGCCTTATCTCGAGTAGGTTGTGAAAAATCGAATCACGTTAAAACGGTCTTGTAGTGACCCTTGCCTAGAATTCATATAAGGATTTAGAATCTGGGTTTAGTACCCGATGGCTATGGCATTCCTGTGCATCCCCTGTGACGTGGTTTAACTGACCCTTGCCTAGAATTTGGATCAAGATTTAGAATCTAGATTTAGCACTCGATGACATGGTTTAATCGTCTTGTAGTGACTCTTGCCTAGAATGCAGATCAGGATTCAGAATCCAGATTCAACACCTGATGGTCTGTGACATTCTTGTGCATTCCCTATCACATGGCCACCTTACTTACTCGTCATTTTAAACCGTATTTAGTTTATTTATTTTAAATTTTGTTATTTATATTGCTAATCTCCTATTTGGGCTGGCACACCCTTAGTTAGTAGTTGGGCCCATAGTTGAATATAGAGCCCAATAGTTTCAGCCCACCGGCCCACCGCCACTAAGTTGCTCTGATATTTTATATATATTTATTTACATCAATATATGAATTATTTTTGTTACTCCTTGTCACGAGGCGGAAATCAGAATATTTGAGCCCTAATTTCTGGTAAAATCGGCCAAGATTGAAGAATGTCGGGTGTTGCAAACACGCAGCAGGAGGAAGACAAGAAGCCTAACGATCAATCGGCGCATATCAACCTGAAGGTCAAAGGCCAGGTTGGTTTCTTTCTTGATTACTCTGTTCGATGGCCTTCTTATGGTTGGTTTTTGCGAAATTTTCATGCTCTAAGGCTTTGATTTTGATCATTTTTTTTCTTCATGTTTTTTGGTTACTTGACGTTAGGCTCTCTTATGTTCTCTTTTAATATCACTTTCGGCCGTGTCGGCTAGGTAGTGGACGATGAAGTAGGAGTATAAATTATAGGATTGTAGGGTTTTATTGATCACTATAATTCGCTCTATGTTCTTTATTATTGAATCGCTTGCTGGTTGTTCGCAAAAATGAAGCCGGAAAATGAAAAAAAAAAAAAACAATAAGTTTCTTGTTATATATGCAATTATATGTTACAGTTGCGATGTTTAAATTTTGGTTTTTTTAAAATTTATTATTATCTTTACTTTCCTTCTCAGAATCTAGCAAATCCAATTGAGTGATAGCTGGAATTCTACTTTCCGTTTTTGGAGCAATATTTGCAATTTGTTGGCATTCAGACTGTTCCTTTTTTTTTTTTTTTACTCACTCTGGGAGCTGGGAGTGTGTTTCCCGTGGATGGACAAGATTGAGTACTGGTCCTCATGTCCTACACCGGATAAGCTTATGGTTCTTTGATGTCTTTCTAGTATAATGTTCATTGGGATGTATATGCTCTTGTGGATTGAATACCTGCTGGGCTGTAGCCTTACTGAGTACTAACAGCGCATTTACCGTTTCTTTTCCTTCTAAATAATGCTTTTGGGGTGTTTGTTTTCCATGAACACTAAAGCATTTGGGGGTTTTCTCTGAAGCTGGGTAGTGTTCTTTTGTTCATTTTGTTGGAATGCATTGAGAAATGTCTTTTTTTTTTTTTAATATCACGTCCAATGGAGTGGCCTTGGTGTATTTTAAAGATTCAATTGAATCAAACCCTTGAAAAATAGAGTGGGGTTCATCACAAGTCTTTCACTATTTCAGTGAAAGGTTCTGTTTTACCATAAAGACAATTCGATGAAATCTGACACATGCCTAAGCAGCAGAAGAGGTAAGACATTCTTCAGCCATCTCAAACACATGGCACGGAGTTGTACATCTGTGCATTTTTTTTATTATTACCGAAACGTGCTGCCTTGTGGTCTCTGCTGTTGTGATTATTGATACAAATGATGGTGATTTAATTGGAGTGTTGAGTTGTTTCTTATTAGGCTAAATTATATATAAAAAAAAATCCTTGATTTTGCCATTTGTTATAAACGATACCTATATATTTTTTAAAAGTTTTTAATATTATCATTAAGAGTGTTGGATGTATAGTTCTTTCCTATTTAATCCATATAAGTGTCCGATTCACTAGCATGTCGTTGCTAATAATTATCATGTTGATTTTCCATCCAATATTGTAAAGAATTTCTACTTAAGTTAGTTTTGAAACCATTATTAAATGTAAAAGTAATATTTCAACTTTCGAAATAATATAATTATTTTCTAAACAAAGGATGAAGTTGGTGTTCCTTCTTATTAAGGCAGGGAGAGAGGTGATTGAAGTTCCTATGAATCCTTAGCTCCGTTCTGTCTCAATTTCTTCTGTCCAGGAGTGATTGACACAATCTTTTTTCTTGTCTCCCATCAAATTTCCAGGGAGTTGTCCTTTTCATGCTCTCTGATCTTTCTGTCTTCCTCTGACGCATGTTCCAGTTTCCTTTCTCTTCTTTGTTTCACTACATATATTGTCGTTTCTTTTCACCCTCACTCCACTTTATCAAGTTCTTCTTTCTGCAATGGTCTTGCTCCTTTTTCCTATTCTTTCTAGTTCTTATTTACACCAATTAGTTGAAATCAATTTATGGTTGGAGATATTGATTTAGGAATATTGTAATATTGATTCCTTTTGTTAGCTTGTTTACTATACCACTCTTGTACATTTTTTCATTTATCTTCAAGAAACCAGTTTGTATGCATGAAAGGCATAATAACCTCTCTTAGTCATCGCTTTTTGATGTACTATAGGATGGAAATGAGGTGTTCTTTAGGATTAAAAGGAGCACTCAGCTGAAGAAACTGATGAATGCTTACTGTGATCGACAATCCGTGGATCTGAACTCCATTGCCTTCCTATTTGATGGTCGTCGTCTTCGTGCCGAGCAAACTCCCGATGAGGTATACTTTACTCTAATTTAAACAGATATCCAATACCAAATTCATATATGTTTAACAAAAGCGTGCAACTTCCCAGCTAGAGATGGAGGATGGAGATGAGATTGATGCAATGTTGCACCAGACCGGTGGGTCTACCCTTTGGAATACATGTTCTACTTCTCTGTAGATTCGCAGAAGACTGCCCGAAGTAGTAACTTAAAATGTGAACACTTTCGTTGACAAGGGAGAAGATCTAAGTTTAATCTTTTGTTTTGAGGTCTATATTATCTTCTCGGATCAATTGTTCTTTTTAAAGCTTTGGAGGTACATGGGTGTGTATGTTACTTGAACTTTGTACTTAGTTTAATGGTTAAAGCTCTTTTTATTCTTCTTTTCTTTTAGTTTCATAATTTAGAAGACTTCAAGAATCAGACAAAAAAAAAAAAACAAGACTTTGAAATGGTTTATTCTCATTCAAGGTAGATCCAGCGCAATTGCGACAATCATGATTCCAGAACATAGTGTCCAAAAAGTGTAGGAATTTCTATATCCTTCAATCAATCAATGATGTTATATACGAACACTAGTTTTACATGTTATCTACATCCCGGTTATATACATCTTCACGTTATCTCAATCGGTAACCGAGGGAAGGTTATGGGAAGGACCAGAGTATAAAGCTGTACAACTCAAACTACTCCGTATCGGTATAATTAGACTGCCTCCTCCGGCTAAGATGTGCTGCTCGTGTGCCGTGTCTTTCGGCTAAAACGTACCAAATCTGCACTTCTAATCCATGTGAACTTTGCGCCTTTCCATGGACTGTGATCACAGTAAAATCATTGGACAAAGAACTACATTCATTCATTACTGCTTATTTTCAGCATATGAGATAGAAAATAACCTTGCCGTACATACGATTCAGGCGTTGGGACATCGATACGCGTCTACGGCTGCTCGCTTCCTGCTCTGAGCCTCTTATTGGACCAGTTAATCTTTCAAAACATTCCTGTAAATGATTATAGATGCTATTGCATCACGGAAAAAGTGATGGTCAGTGTGATGTTTTATTGAACATCCCATGAAAGAACCAAGTTCCAAAAGGAAAATTTATCAGATTATCCTATTAATCAACAATAGAACAGAAAAGCCTACCTGAGCCGATGTCTGTTGCAAGCAGTGAAGAACGCAACAAATCCATTTAATATGCTTCTAAGAGCTCGAAAGACCTGAAGCAAAGAAATCGACACAATAATTGCAAAGTTGCCACGATATAGAACACGAGTGGTAATTGTTTGCTGTGTAGTACCTGAGAGAAGAGATCATCCCAAAGCATACGCCACATGGAAACCTCAGACGCGACAACCGTTGCCTCTGAAACAGATGCAACTTGAAAAACACTACTGATAAAATGTTGTACGTCTCGGAACAATTCATAAATGCCCGAGCATATGTACACGACCAAACTAGCTAATGAGAGGACCGCTCGGATCGGAGCATACAGTACTTCTGAAATGATCCACAACACAGGAAGCACAATCATTGTTACTGCAAAGAAAAGAAAAGGGATCAGAAATCTCATGAAAGACCGTCTTCACTGAAAAGAAAAAGACTACGTGTCCTACACGATATAAACTTACCACAGCTCCATAAGGTCGAGGAAATGAACCACAATGGCCAGAGCAAGAACTCAATTATGTCAACAACTAGGCCGCAACAAAATTCAACCACATCCCAGATCACTGAAAAGAAGTTCCCGAAAACTTCGATGAAAGTACTACAAACAGGAAGAAGGAATCCTAGAAGTTCCATGACAGGACTTGCCAATGGTTGAGCCATAATTGAAAGGAAAGATCTTGTGGTACGCGAAATAGTAAGAAACCACTTAATAGCTTTCTCAAAGTTGTGTAAGAACAACATTGTTCCCAAGTACTTAATCCTCGATACCATCTCCCAAGTCTCTATCCAATCGAAAAACGGTCCACACAAACGAGACGCTGCTGCCTTCAAAAGTGGGACGTTTTTGTATAAATCATAGAATCCTATGAGAACAGTGATTACTGATACGAGAACATATAGAGCTCTTGCAAAAGGGCACATCCAAGGCCGATAGATGTTACAAAACACCGGGTAAGATTGAAGGAAGATCACCCAAGATGGAAGACCAGCTTCTAACAACGTGAGCAACCGTAGATCAGACATTATTATTTCCTTCAACTTAAATGGAAGGTCTCGATCGTCAAACCGAAACAAAATTAATACGTCTTTGTATTGTGTAGCCTCAACTACATCTTGACAATCGGAATCATAAGCCTCTGAGACACTTAGCACATCACTATTTCTGTTTTCCATCTCTTCCCGAAGGGTATCATCTTCATTCATTGGGTCAATAAATTGTGTTACTTTTCTTCTCTTATTAGGTCCAGTCGGAGGAGGTGTCTGTAGCGAATTTGTGCTGTCTACTGCTGTGGTTGAATCATTATTAATGTATGAGTTCTTGTAGGAGATAATCTCGTCCTCGTAATTGTCTTCAACATCTGGGACATCTTCTTCAGCATCATAGAAAATTTCTCCTGAAAAATGGCATTGAAAATGAAATGTGTATAAGTGGAAACGTTCTAGGCCATCACAGATGCCAGCCGCAGCAGCCATCTGCTTCTCGGTAGCTACGGGCAAAGATGTGCTTAGCATACTAATGCAGTTTCTAAATAAGAACGGGATAAAACCCACGGTACACTATTTTACGATCATTTGCAGGCAATATATAATTCATTATATTAATCTAGAGATGCAAATAAAAACAATTTTTTGAAGAGGTATAGGGAGTGTGCTACACACCAGTCTCACCAACTAGAAATAACACTAGACGCTCAGAACGTAGATCATCCTTGATATTGAAAGCAACCAAATGACTAAACGTAACCGCCCGAGACTACCGCTAACAAATGTTGTCCGCTTTGGTCCGTTACATATTGTCCGTCAGCGTTACGGTTTTAAAACGCGTCTACTAGGAAGAGGATTTCACACTCTTATAAGAATTGTTTCATTCCCCTCTCAAACCAACGTGGGATCACACAATCCACCCCCTTGGAGCTCCAGCGTCCTCGCTGGCACACCGCTCGGCATCTGGCTATGATACCATTTGTAACAGCCTAAACCCACCACTAGCAAATATTATCCTCTTCGGGCTTCCCCTCAAAGTTTCCAAACGCGTCTGGTAGGGAGAGGTTTCTACACCCTTATAAGCAATGTTTTGTTCTCCTCTCCAATCGATGTGAGATCTCACACTAAGTTCAAAGCAAATCAGTGCACGGTTCTAAGCCTCTCCACATGAACAACAGAACAAACATACTCTCATTCCTAGTATGATCTGGGTCAGAAGTAACCAGAAACACAAACAACTACCTGTGACTGATTCCAAATAAGTCTTCAACAGCTGCCCATCTGAAGCTGAACCCGTGAACCAAGAAGATATGCTCCCAGCAGCTTGAGATATGCAATCAAATTCCCATCGTTGCATATATTTAGCCTCTATGGCCAGAGAGGTATCCGTCTGCAGGTGAAATGTAAATCATTGAACACGGACAACTACATGCAGCCAAGATGGAAGCATGAGAAGGAAGGGTTGGTACCTGAAGCTCATTCAAGTAGTTTATACCTCTAACATTGTTCCATGAAACTTCAAAAACAATGAAGCCATACAATGTCCTATGCAGTTCATTGTTTAGAACAAAAGATTTTCCAAGATTTTTCACAGGAGGCATAGGAAGCAGAAGCTTCTTCTGAGACAATGTTACAGCATTAATCAATGGAAACCATCGCAAAAACTTCTTTGGTTTAGTCTTTTTGGGCCTCTGGTAAGCCACCCGTTCACTATTCCTATCCTTCCGTGCTTTCCTGTTTGCAAAAGGAGACAGCCTCGACTGAAAATGAAAAGAGTATTTTAGGTCTGACCATAAGAACAAATCGATAAACTAAGCTTAACAGGATTAAAGTTGATATAGACCTTCGTAACCATCAGCTGCCACAAGCGAGCAGGGCGCGAACCAAATTCTCTCAACCATGGCCGATTGTCCACTAAGACATAGAACTTTTTACTCTCAGCCGCCAAGAAGAGGCTAAGATCAGAGAGATAAGCCTGCAGGTCGCTGAATTGATGAACGCGTGAACCAAAAAGGGGGAAAACAGTTAGACATTGAACAAATATACTATTCACCAACAATTTTAATCGGATAGATACAGAAACTTGTCTAGAAATCCATACAATTGAACTAATTAGAGAGAGAATCAGAAAATCAAACATGCCGAACGCGAATTCATTCAAAGCAAAACAAACAAACCAAATGAAGTCCGTTTCTGAAAAAGAAATCAAGCCAAAGAAACAAAAACCGTACCCGATTTGCAAATTTGTCAACGGAAACACACAACGAGCCTCATCAGTATTCCCCATGAACACCGCGCTTGATTCCCCAATCACCACCAATTACAGCTTTCGCAAACGGCACACAATTTATAAAGACGAACGCATGCAACCAACGCATGGTTATGCATCATAATACAAACAGAAACGCAACAAATTAAAGACGAAAACAGAGGGGACTCCATAACAAAAAAAAACAACCACCGCCAAATTTCATCCCCAAAATGCGAGGCGGTCAGAAAACAGAACAGGAAGAAGAAAAAGAGTAATGAAACCGAGAGAATTGCTTTGTTTGGAAGGCGAGAAGAAAGGGCGAAAGGTGGAAGCCAGGCATATCTGTTGGTTATCTAAAGGAAGTTGAAAGGAGAGAAGCATTGGGATCTGGCAGTTCCCGCCATGGATAAAACAGAGAGAATCAGAGATATTGGCGAAGGAGAGAGGGAAGGTCGGGTGGCGCTGGCCATGGAACTTCACCGCCTCGATCGGGTGCGGACAAGTCTAGCAACACGCCATCTCAAACTCTATATTTAGTTCTTCCTCTCTTTTTTTATATAATATTAATTTTATCTTAATTTCCTAATCAAATTTCAAACATTTTAATTTTTTAATTTTTTAACTTTTTAATTTTTTAATTTTTTAATTTATAATTATAATAATAATAATTATTATTATTATTATTTTGTAGAATACATATGAAAATACAAATTTTCATAAAATCGAAGAATCGATAATATTTATAATTAATTTGAGAATCTTATTCTTTATTGAAATATTTATTATTTTCGACAATATTTTTAATTTTTTTATTAATTACTGTTCACTCTCGTAGCTTTATTAATTAAAGTTCACTCTCGTTTGTAATTAAGTTTCACTAATTATTAAATTATTTAATTTTTTTCCTTCTTTTGAGTTGAACAGTTTCTTCCATAATTAAACTATTTTTTTAGTGTGCAACTAGTATTTATTTAATGGAGTGAATTATATAAAAAAATAAAATAATATTAATATAAAAAGAAAAAATCCAACTACCATAAAAAGATTAAGGAAATTACAATACTAGGCTTTGATTGATTTTCTACGCTAAGCCTATTATTTCTTCCGTAAATAATAATAATAATAATAATTTGAAAAGGAGAGATGCGAAGGCGAATATGAATTAAAGTGGTGGGTCCCACTGCCCGCTAGAAGAACCAATCATCACGGGTGGGGCCCACAAAAGATGGAAAATTCAAATAATAAAATACGGCTTTATCCGGAAGTAAATCGAGGAAAACTCCAGAGTAAATGGTCAGGTCCACGTGGCAGTTAAGGTGATGAGGTGTCATGTCCTGGGTTTTGTTACTATGCGGCAGATGTACAGAATCGTGGGTGCATGTGCCTCCATATTCGGCTGCTCTATTTTAATAATTAAAAAAAAACATTTTTTTTTTTTTTAATGCTTCCTCCAATCATGGGAAATTAATGTTTTTTTTTCCTTGTATAATTAATAAATAATGCAAAATATTTAGAAAAACAGACAAGACAGAAACATATGTCCCACGTAATTAAATTGAAAAAAGAACATTATTAAATGTTGAAAAATATAAACCAAACATCCACATCACTAAATGGTTGTGTTTTATGTATTCGATTCCCTTTAATATTCCCATTTTCACATGTAATTAGGAATAGAGTTAGATATTTAGTAAGATATTTGATGAATCCATAATTTTGTTCTTAACGAAATTTCAAAAAACGATAGTCTTGGGATTAATCTAATGAATATTTTACACACCGTAAAATGATAATCTTTGAATGGACAGAGAACCACAATGTCAACAAACATAAAAGACATTAGATTCGACTTTACAATGAGATCAAATGCCACTTTTTTTAATAGAAGGGGGCCACGACAATCTTCGGTGGCTTGAGCCATCGACTTGATGTGAGTCGTTTTGTTCATCTTCAGCTTTTTGTTGTCCATTTTCTTGCGTATGCACGCTTCTAATGGCTAAATCATCGAAGCTCGATTCGGATCTCCATGGAGGCGGGGTGATGCAGTTGGAATCGCCCGCCACTCGAACGGATGAATCAATGGGTGGGGTTGTAGGGAGAGATGAATTGGGATTACCTACTCTGAGATTTTGTAGAGTTGCAAAGGATTCCCTCATAGCACTCATGGCTTCAAAGAATCTTGTACAAGAAGCTAAAGCAACAGGGATAGGCCTAAGCATTTCCTACATAGCAGATTCAAGATCATGAACTATAATATAATCCTATGAATTGGGTAAGATCCAAATGATTTACATCCAAATGGACAATTAAAACGGCATCAGATCCTTATCTACTTGAGTTCATGCTGGTTTTAGTGTTTGTCAATGTCAAATTAGACAAGAAAGGGATGAGTATAAGGTTTACCCCCCACACTGAAGGCGACTCCTTAAAGTTCTGACTCCATTGGAAGTCTGCAACTGAAGCTGTTAAAGCTCCATAATCACTAGCAGCCTTCATTAATAACTCCGAAAATTGTTTCTGCAGAATATTAACATCATCAAGCATTGTTGTTGTTCAGTAAGTCACATGATTGGTTAACTCCCGAGCAGTTTCTTTCAAACTTGATTCCGATATGCAAAAAACGAGTATTTAGAGATGTGCAGAATCTAAATCTTATCAGAATCAGACAGTACAAACAACGCCACGCAGATTTCAAGCTTCATATCACTACTTGATCACATGGTCATGAATTCATGATGAAGAGTTTGTCTTTGAAACAGACAAAAGTATATGGAATGGTGAGCTGTTCTAGTTTTGGCTGTTTTAGATGGATCAATCCAGTGGTTTTTGGAAAAGAAAAAAAAAAGAAGTATTAGAGTTCGTGTTTTGGTTGCATTTCATGTGCCATTTTCAGGGATGTTTATAAAATCCAGTTCTCTCAGACATCAGGAATGATTTAGATATAGATTTTAAAAGAATGGTGAGCGTTTCGTTGATGAACAAACCTGAAATTCTGCTTCCACTGGAATGCAATCGAGCGAATATGGTTGCTGAAGACGAGCTATAATACGATCCTGCAATATTTGGAAATGAGGAAAGGAGGGTATAAGATCATGGCATTTGAGTCATGCACGCTCAAGATTACGACATTTCTATCAAGTACAAGTTGAAACAGACAAGTATCTGCATCCGGTTATAATACTTGATTAGGGCCAAGGAAAAAAGATATCTGTAACCGCCTAAGTCCATCTCTAGTAGATATGCTCTTTGAGCTTTCCCTTTTGGACTTCCCTTCAAGGTTTAAAATGCTTCCACTAGGGAGAGGTTTCCACACCCTTATAAGGAATGCTTCATTCACCTCTCCAACCGATATGAGATCTCACAATTGACCACTCTTGGGGACCCAACATCCTCGGTGGCACACTACTCGATGTCTGGCTCTGATACCATTTGTAACAGCAGACCCACCCTGACAGATATTGTCCTATTTGGGTTTTTCCTTTCGGGTTTTCCCTCAAGATTTTAAAACATGTCCACTAGGGAAGGTTTCCACACCCTTATAAGGAATGCTTCATTCCCTTCTTCAACCGATGTGGAATCTCACAATCCATCTCCCTTGGGGGCCCAACGTCCCGCTGGCACATGGCTCGGTGTCTGACTCTAATACCATTTGTAATAGCTCAAGCCCACCGCTAGTAGATATTGTCCTCTTTGGGTTTTCCCTTTTGGGTTTCTCCTTAAGGTTTTAAAACACGTCCACTAGGGAAAGAATTCCACACCCTTATAAGGAATGCTTCGTTCTCCTCTCCAATCTCTCCAATCGAAGTGAGATCTCACGTATCCATAAAAGGTAAAAAGAGCGGGAGAATGAGGTAATGACTTTAGTAGCGGTCATGATGGTCAAATCCTCAACATGCAGCAAAGGAAAAGCTTAAGCAATTGAAAACCTTTTTTTGCAAGGCAAGTTCACTTTTTACGGAGAAGGCGGCACTTACTTTTCACAATCACTAATGACCTACAAATTCTTGGCTAAGTTTCTCTCAAGGTAGATCCATGACATATCCTTGAGAATACAGCAATCATCTTCACAAATTAGGTCCGTCAAGGTTCGTCAATGTAAGGACAAGGAGCAACAAAAAAGGAGCAACAAAAAAGCATATAGAAAGTGTAAAACCCAACCCACCTCTAACAGATATTGTCCTCTTTGGGCTTTCCTTTTCGAGTTTCCCCTCGAGATTTTTTAAAACACGTCTGCTAGGGAGAGGTTTCCACACCCTTTTAAAAAATGTTTCGTTCTCCTCCCCAACCGATGTAGGATCTCACAATCCACCCCCCTTCGGAGCCCAACGTCCTCGCTGGCACTCATTCTCTTATTCAATTGATGTGGGACAAACAAATCCACCCCCTTCTGGGCCCAACGTTCTTTCTGGCACAGTGCCTCGTGTCCACCCTCTTCGGGTCGTAGCCTACTCGCTAGCACATCACCAGGCGTTTGGCTCTAATACCATTTGTAATAATCCAAGCCCACTACTAGTAGATATTGTCCTCCCTCAATGTTTTAAAACACAGTAGAGGTTTCTACACCCATATGAAGAATGTTTCATTCTCCTCCCCAACCGACCATATAAAGAATGTTTCATTCTCCTCCCCAACCGACGTGGGATCTCACAGAAAATCTCTAAGTAAACCTACTCTATTTCAAGCCCTAAAAGCATTAATACTTTAACATAATAAAGGCCTCAGTTTTTATAAAGAAAGCAGAAGGTGCAACTGATGAATTGGGGCATCGAAGCAATCGAGAATTAACGTGAAATCAATACAAATGGAGTCTTTAAACCAACAAAATAACCCGTAAGCGATACCGTTTAGTTGAGGTTCTTCTTCCCCTTTTGAAGGTTAGTTATAAGGGGAAAAAGTGGTTAAAAACACAAGCATTATGAATCAAATCCAAGACAAGATGGAAGAAAGCACCTTATTCTGAATGACATCTTTCAATATGGTAGTAATCCTTGATAAAGTCTCAATCTTCTTTTCCATTTCACTCACATGGGTCAAATGAGCTACATTCTTGTCATCCTACGGAAATCATATTTCAATTCATTTAGTAGAATAATAAACTCCAAACAGATATAGAAAACATAAAAACTAATGATGAACAATGAACGAGTATCGTTTTATCTTGTTTTGACGCAGGATACGCACCTTACGGCCTTGAAGTTCCACTTGAAGATCTGCTATTTTCCTTTGAACAGCAGTAAGTTCTCGTAGAACTCTAATAAGATCATCACCCTTTTCACCAGTAGCAGAAGATATATTTTGTAGTTCTTCCTAAAAGAGACAGATTAGCCCATTTGAATTTTCAATTTATCAAGCTTCAAATTCTAAGTTACAACGTAGAATATTAAACTAGAGATCTCAAATAATCCACAACAACAAGCCAGGAGAAAACTGAAAGAGAGAATTAAACTTTGAGATTGAAATATCTTTAATGCGTAAGAATTAACATAGTCCTAAAAGTAAGAAGCAGTCGCGTATGGAACCCATT